GATGCAGAATCACTGTATTCTGAACAAAATTCTATGAATGAAGAGACAATTTTTGCTCTTCTATACTCTTCTTGTGAATCTAGTCTTTCAGAAGATGATATCTCAGTCTTTTTAGCACATGAAATTCATCAAATCAACATTGCTATTCCACAATCCTGTGTAGAAGTTCAAATTCTTCCATCCAAATTTGAGCATCCAAAAATGGCAATTGCTCATATGGATGCTGGCACTCAGAAATCTATGATGGATCCAAAGATTCTACCACATGAAGGATGAAAAAAAAGCAGTTTATTTTGTTGTAGCTGATGGGAGTATTTTCAAAATTGAACTGGTTACCAAACATCCTATTGGGATAAAATTTTTCCCATAATGTATTGTTTTGACCAAGATCATTATAGTTAAACTGTCAAACAAATATATTCTTATTGGCATTGATGTTTATTTTACTGCTCATAGACTCCAGATTCTCCCCTATAGCATAAAGTTCAAAAGAGATTTCAAGTCTTATTTATAGACAATGAGATTGTATTCAATCTCTAAAGCACCACCTAATCTTGATTATATCAAAGAAAGACTCAAGCTTCTCTATGCTCACAGTCATGAAGGTTTTTCTCATCCTAATCATTTATGAAAAAATGAAGAGTTTTTTTTTATCTAACTTCCCTTTAAGTTGAATGAGGATGTCAATCCTACAAAGATGACTAATCCAAGAATGACCCTTCAGACCTCCAACTTGCTAGACAATAATGCCAAGAACTCCTGAGACAAGGTTTGGTTGAATCAACAAAATCTCAATAGGCATGTCAAGCTTTCTATATAGAAAAGAGATCAGAAAAACTTTGAGTTAAGAAAAAAATTGATGATTGATTACTAGCCACTCAATCATTTCCTACAAGATGATACATTTTGCAGGCTGACACCTACAAACTCTATGTGCTTGTTTGGCTAACAACACTTCAACAATGTATGAATTTTTGCACAAAAAGTGAGTTCCCACAGCATGCTACTTGTTGAGAGCCATGCCCTATTGCTGCCCATATGCTCTGTTGTAGTATCCTCAATCTCACTACAAATACAAAGTCTTTACCCTCATGTACACACCTTCCTCAATGCAAACTCCACCTTATCCAAACACTAGCTTGAAAGTTGGAGTCCTTGTAGGTGCATGTCATCCTTTTCCTGTTGACGCCATGACAGTTGTTGTCACAATGATGCTCGTTGGTTGCTGGGAGGATCCATCTTAGATAACTTGTTGCACTTATATACCTCATGTTGCTACTACAAACAAATGCAAAGGAGCCCAAACAGTAAATCTGGTTAGTCCCTCAAGGTCGTAGTCTCTATAAACTCAATAAGGTGTTGTGTCCCGCTCCGTACAAGGACGAGAGACCAAATGCCCATATGTGGGTTGTACCAAATCATCCAACCTATTACATTAAGCACATTTGGTCAGAACACCATCAATATGTAATATGCCTCTGTTAAGTAAAAATCGAGTAAGATATAACTTCTTGAAATTGGATAACATGCATCTAAACACTATTATTGGTTTCAAAATCCAAATTTCAAGAAGTTATATCTTACTCAATTCTTACTCAAAATATGCATATTACATATTGATGGAAAACTTAAAATTTCCACTTTCTATTGGCGAAAGAATCACAAACAAATTTCATATATACAAAGAGATATATGTCACATGAGTAGCTTAAAAGATCATGTTTGTCATTAGTTTGTGTATGTATGGTGAGAAGCCTCACATTATGAAATTGAGATGCTTATAAAAAAGAGTGTGGTAAAATTTATAATTATTTTTTTAAAATTCGGTATTACCGAGCACCTTGTACAAACAACATGACAAGTGTAAAAACAACCCTATTTTGTTTTTTTAAATCCACCTTGGGTTGTTTAACCAAAATATTGCAAATCCCTAAAATATTTTGCATGTTGGTGTAACTCCAAGTTATTTCCTTTATTTGACTAAAAACTCAAATATCATATTACGAGTTAAATTTTTTTTGCCATACATGGCCCAGCATTGTGTGAGTTCCATGTTGGAGTTACAACTTATAATGTAGACTTGTGAGTTCCACATGATACTCACAATGCCTTTATTATCTATAATTAATTTAACTATTCTCTAAACTCACCATTAATTGATTTCAAACTCTTTTTTTATTTTTTGAGAGTTCTCCACTAGTTCCTTGATTAATTGACTAATTTGGTCAAGTCAAGAAGGATCACAAGGGCGACAAAACTCTCCCTACCAAATTTTTAACACAGTTGTGTACCCAAGATTCAAACTCGAGATCGCTAGTTAAGTTAGAACCATACTTGTAAAAAGCGGCGCTAAAGCGGTGCTACCCGCGTCGTTCGCGGGTTGCGGAGGACCACCGCATCCAACCGCGCCGCATCGCACCAGTCACAGATCGCGTTTGAAGCAACTACAATAGCGGTTAAAGGTGGCGTCTGAAGCGATAAAAATTGCGGTTAAAAGCAATGAAAAAGAAAAGGAAACAGAAGACTTGGATATTTTTGTCCTTTTCATTATTTAATATTAAAAGAACATTGGGCTTCTCTTTTAAAACGTTTTAGACCTCTGCTTTTCTTTTAAATACCACTGACATACTCCACCGAATGACAAAGACTTATCTATTAAAGTTGGCAGCTTTATTGTTTCTTTTTATTTGATATTTTCTATCCCACGGATTCTCAGTTGCATCTGCCTTTTTTGTCTCTTTGTTGGCAGATTCTCCGCATCGTGTAAGTTTTCTAACTTTTTTTTATTCCTTTTTTTTACCATCTTATTTTTTTTCTCTCTTATTTTTCTTTTCTACCTTCCTATTTTTTTTCTTTTACTCTTTTTTTTTCTACCCTCCTTTTTTCGGGTTTTTTTTTCTGATTTCTTCCCTTATTTTTTTTGTCCTTCATTTTGTTTTCTTCGTTATTTTTTTTTCTGACTCTCATAATAGGTTAACGCTCTGTGGAGTTTGGTCATATGTTACTTTCAATATTTTTTTTGATATAAAACTTTCAATTTACTTAAATAAAAATTATGTACTTTTTTATATTTTACAAACTATGAATTATTTTACAAACTGTGAATTATTTTTTGATACATTACTTTCAATTTTTTTTTATACAATACTTTCAATTTAATTAAAAAAATTATGAATTTTTTTTATACTTTACAAATTATGAATTATTTTACAAACTGTTTATATATTTTAAACTGTGAATTATTTTTTGATACATTATTACTTTCAATTCCTTTTTTGATACAGTACTTTCAATTTACTTAAAAAAAATTATGAATTTTTTCATAAAAAAATTATATATATTTTTTATTAAACAACTGTGAATTATTAAACACACCTAATAATGTTTAAAAGTTAATAATTTTTTGTTTGTAAAATAAGTGAAAAAAATTCATAATTTTTATTTTAAATAATTTTAAAATTTGTATTCAAATACAAAATAATATTTTTTGAAAAAAAAAATTAAAAATGAAAGAGAGGTTATAATTATAATTTTTTTACTATCTTGTAACTGTGAATTGTTAAACACATTTCTTTTTTTGCTTGTAACTGAACCAGAAGACTCACATCACCCTGTAATTGAATTTTTTTTACCCGTATAATATTAAATGTAGCTAGTGATGGCAACCAATGACAGTACACAAGAGTCTTCTTCTTCTTGTGCTTTGGTTAAACCTCTGCGTCCATATCGTGATATGGCATGGCAATGGAATTCCTTAAAGGATATCAATAACAGAAGGAATGTGACATGTCACTACTGTCAGAAGACAACGACAAGTGGAACTGCCAGGGCTAAATACCACCAAATTGGGATAAAAGGAGATGTAGAGCCATGTAAGAAACACCCCCAGAAGTAAGAAATGCTTTGAAGGAAGCGTGTGAAAGGAAGCTAGCTGATAAAAATGCTTTCTTAAATGAGCTACAAGAAGACGATGATGAGCTTGAAAAGGTAGGGGAAATCCGTAACATTCGAACTGGAAAAAATGGAGTAACATCTGACAGTGATTCCTCTACTGTTCCTGCCAAGAAAAGTAAGATTGTGAAAGGTCCCATAGGCCTACTTCTCTTAAAAAACCCATAAAACAACATCAAGTTATGGGAAAGGCAAACAAGCATCAACGATGCTTGTGATAAAGAAGCTAGAGCCAGAACAGTTCAATATATTAAGAGGTTTTTAGTAACGAATGAGATACCTTTTAATGTTGTACGCTCTAGAAGTTTCAGGTTGATGGTTGAAGAATAGGGAACTATGGTCCTTATTTGAAGGTTCCATCTTATTATGAATGTGGAGTTACACTGCTTCAAAAGGAGTTAGAGTACACCAAGGAATTATTAAAGGAGCATGAGATAGAGAGAGTAAACTATGGATGTTCTATTATGTCTGAGGGATGGACAGATAAGAAGGGTAGAACTTTGATCAATTTCTTGGTGAATTGTCCATCAGAAACTATGTTTGTCAAGAGTGTTGATGTTTTTTCTTATGTCAAGACTGGTGAGAAGTTATGTCAACTTTTGGACACTTTTGTGATGTAGATTGGGGAACAAAATGTTGTTCAAGTGGTGACCAACAATGGAAGCAATTATGTTTTGGCTGGTAAGAGACAATAAACTCATTCAATTATTTATATTTTAATTTATTTGTGACTCGTTTTCTTATTTAAGTCTATGCTTATGATGTTAGGGAAATTTTTACAAGCCAAGAGACGTCATTTGTTTTGGACTCCATGTGCTGCACATTGCTTAGACTTGATGCTAGAAGATATTGGAAAGCTTGATAGAGTAAATAGGACAATAAAAAGAGGCATCAGTCAAGTAGGTTTCATTTATAATCATTCATTCGCATTGAACACTATGCGGCAATTCACAAGCAAAACTGAATTGGTGAGGCATGGAGTGACAAGGTTTGCTACCACATTCCTGACATTGCAGAGGTAGTATAAGCAGAAAAACAACCTCCGAAGGATGTTCACATCTGATGAGTGGTCAAAATCTAAGACTGCCAAAGACCCTAAGGGAAAAAGGGCAACTGATATTGTACTCAGTACATCTTTTTGGAATGATGTAGTTTTTTGTCTTAAGGCTATGGGGCCTCTTGTGGGTGTGCTGAGGATGGTTGATAATGAAAAAATGCCAGCAATGGGTTACATTTATGAAACAATGGATAAGGCCAAAGAAGCAATTCAAAATGCATTTCATGGAATTGGAAAAGAAGATAAGTTTAAAGATATTTTAGCTATCATTGATAGAAGATGAGATTGTCAACTTCATCATCCTTTACATGCAGCTGTGCATTATCTTAACCCTCAATTTTTTTATTCCAATCTAAGGCTGGATGATGATTTAGAAGTGGTTAATGGTTATTTAAAATGCTTTGAGAGGATAACTGCAAATACAGATGAGATGGACCAGGTTATGAATGAATTGGAGCTATATAAGAAAGCTTGGGGTCTCTTTGGCATGGACTCAGCCAAAAGACAAAGGGATAAAGTGTCTCCTCGTAAGTATTTGATCCCTTTAAGCTTTTATTATTACAATTTATTTAACTAGTCATATTATTGAGTTATTATATTTTGTATTACAGTGCAATGGTGAGGGACGTATGAAACACAAACAAAAGCACTAAAAAAAGTTGCCATTAAAGTATTGAGTCTGACTTGCAGCTCTTCAGTATGTGAGCGCAATTGAAGTATTTTTGAGCATGTAAGTACATATGCTCAATGATTTTATTTATAGAGCTTCATAACTGATTGTGAAACTAATATGTTTTATTGTTAATTATCAAATAGATTCATTCCAAGAGGCGAAGTAGACTTGAGCATCAGAAGTTGGAGGACTTGGTTTATATTAAATATAACAAAACTCTTAAATATCGATTTGACAATCGTGATCTGATTGATCCCATTCTCCTAAATGGTATTGATGAAAGCAATGAATGGTTGGTAGGAGATATGGGTGGTGATGGGGAACAAAATGAGAATGAACTTGTATTTGAGGATGATACCATCACCTGAGGTGACATTGCAGATGTAACTAATCCTGATGAGCCTTTAATTTACACTAGACAGCAGACAAAGTCCATTGCTTTGCCTTCAAGCTCTAAGGGAAAAGAGATTAAAGAAAAAGAAGGACTTAAAGATGTGCCAGAACAACTGTACAATATAGATACTAGTGACAGTGAGGCTGAAGCAGACTTTGGTGATGGTAGAATTCAAGATTATGATTAGTTCTTTTTGACATTTAAATATGGAAATGGAAGGGGATATCTTTTGGATCTTTTAATTGACTACTTGGAATTTCTGTTTGTTTTGGAGCAATTCTTTATTATTATTTATTGTTCTTATTTTTTAGCACATGTATGTGTGGTATATCTAGGTTCTATTAGTCCATTCCGCTATTTTCGCAACCGCAACCTGCTATAAAGCTATAGAATTTTTCAAGATTGGCCGCAACAGGCCGCGATCCGCTTTTAACTACTGTGGTTAGAACAACCTTTTACTAGTTGATCCATATGCATTGTGATATTGATTTCAAAATCTTAAACAAAATTGATTATGAAATTAAGGGCTATTTAATTCTAAGTAAATATTAATTACATGTTAAATAAACACAAGATTCAAATGGATTTGTCATTAAAACTAATTGATTCTGATTTAGTAACTAAATCATTATATCTATGATTCCTTAAAAAAATCCTTATATTTTCAATTTCAGACCAACATAATTTAGTTAATTTAGATTTATGTTACATTTCATTATTATTATTATTATTATTAATGAATTCATCACATGATTTATATATATATATATATATATGTGTGACTTTATTGTTTCTCATGTTATAAGAGATAAATTTATCTACTGTACACAAATAAAAGTGTGTGAGACTCATATTTTTTCCTTTCTCTATCTCTTTCTCACATGGGTCTATACACTTTTATGTTATAAGAAATAAATTTATCTCCTCTGCACAAATAAAAGTGTGTGGGCCTTCTCACATGGGTCTATACACTTTTATGTATGCGTAGGAAATAAAATTCATCTCTCCTGTACACAAATAAAAGTACCCATATTTTTTCTTTCTCTCTTTTTCTCACATGGGTCGATACACTTTTATGTATATGTAGGAAATAAAATTCATCTCCTCCAATATGAGAAATATTATTCTTTCTCTCTCTCTCTCTATATATATATATATATATATATATATATATATATATATATATATAAGGGCTTTAATTTTCTTATGTTGCAGCTGATAAGCAAGTTTTCCTACACACACAAACATCCATAGATCCTATTATTTTTTAAAAGAAAATCAATTTTTGATCTCTCAACAGGAGATGCTATTCATCCTTCCTACCGTAGAAGAATAGTATTTCCGTATATATAAAGGCCGTTAAAAACTTTATTTATGAGTAAAAAGATCACAATTATTCAACAAAAAAAAATCACAATTACTATAATAGTGTGACACTTTAATAATATAATTTTTTTTATATAATCAATCATATTTGAACTATATGTTTACTTTTTTGTATGCTTTTATCTTTCTTCATATAAATTTATTTTCAAGCATTAATATTTTAAAAAAATTCATTTAATATTTTTTTATAAATACGTTAATACGGTTAATAATTAATGATTAAATTTTTTAAAAATTTGCAATAATTTAATCAATTAGCCTCGATGAATGTGTCACACTCTTAAGAATCAATACAAAAATATAGGTAATTACAAAAATCAATGTTGGTCATGGACCCCACTGCCGCATTATTACACAACTCTCCAACCCTAATCCGTAAAGCACACAAAATAATATTAATAAAAAAATGAAAATAAATAAATAAATGATATTAAATTTCCTCTCTTCTCTCGCTATCTGTCTCTTTCTCTCTCATCCTCTGCAACAAAACAACTCTCTCTCTCTCTCTCTCTCTCTCTCTTCTGTTCACTTTACAAAACTTTTTGAAACTTTTACAAACTCACTCTCTTTTTCACAAGCAATCCCTGAGAGGAAAAAAAGAAAAGCTAAGGTTTTCTCCTTCTTCAAAGCCCAATATTCTCTTCCCCTGTTGGAACCCCTTTTGGTCATTCTCTGTCGGTGCTCCAATACCTCAACCTTGATCTTCTTCACCCCAACTTCTCAAATGGCTCTGCCACTCAAATTTCTAGGGTTTCAAAGGTTACTGGGTCACCTTCAAGTTCGTTCCTTTGATGGGTTTTTGCCCTCTATTGCAGTGCTGGGTCTTAAACTGGTTAAAGGGTCAAGCTTGCTAGTGCTGTAGTTTTAGTGGGGGCGTGGAAAAAGAGGAGAGGATTGCATTGTGTTTGTCAAAAAGGGAGGATTTTTATGTACTTGTTTAATTATTGCTTTGTGTTTTTTTGTTTTGGGGGGCTTTTGTGAACAGTAATTGCTTTTTGGGAAGCTTATTTCGGAAGCAATTTACCCCTTTTGAACGTGATTGTATTTAGTGCTATCATGGACTCACACAATGTTCTCTTTTGATCTTATCAATAGTGGGGTTTTGGTTTTATTGTTTTTTTCCCACCCCTCTTCTTTCTCTTTTTGGATTGGGAGCCATTATACATGTGAAACCCGTGAATTTGGCTCTGTTATGTAGGGTGTTGGAGTAGCAGGCCTTATTTATTTTGATCTCTTTTATTGGTAGCATTGATGATTTAGCATCACAATCGTTGGCAATGGTGATAGGTATCAATAGCATTAGCAACTTGTTTAGGATGATGTTTTAGCTCCACTCATAGGAGTGAAGTTTCAGCTAGTTTTTTGGGGAATCTGAAGAGGCTTTGGTGATGGAGGACATAGGGTTATTCAAGCAAGGTTGGCAATGGCTTCGGTCACAGAAGGATGGATGCTGGCGGGTTCGAACTGTGGTGACATGTTGCAGAGACAGAACTGCTATGTTCATTGAGCGGCATTGGCCTATGGTGTGTAATGGGTGCTCCAAATTGGGGAGCTTACTAAGGTTATCATTGGTTTATTGGAAAGACTCTGCTTTAAGGGGCTTTCAGTCCTTCATTAGGTTTGGTTCAGTGATGCTTCTGCTTATAATGTGGAGCTGCTTTCTTAGCTTGACTTCGATGTATTGCTTGGCTTACGTGCTTGTTAGTATGGTATGTCTTCATTTCAAGCTGTCTAAGTCTTTGTTCTTGCGGTTTAGGGTTCTGATCTATGTGCTTTTAAGTCTATTATCCATTTATTATTTTTATTTTTAGCTGTTCTTTGAGTATTTATTATATACCTACTTCAGTTTGATAACAGTTTTAGAATAGTGTCATTTAGCTTATGGTTTGGTGGTGTGATGGCTTTTACAATTGCCTTATTAGTCATTCTAAAATATAGCTTGGTACCTGAAGCACAGTATTCGGCTTTAATAGTCATTCTAAAAATGTTGAAATTCTCTAAGAATTTTATGATAGAGATAAGTTTGAAGCCTTCAAGGATAATGCTAAGTTTTATAAAGATTAGACTGTTTCTTTCAAAAATTAGGAGAGTATAGACGATGTGGATGTGACAGTTAGAATTTTCTCCAGCAAAGTTAACTTCAGGTGGTTGTCTAGATTTTAATGTCATTAAATTCTAAATTTATTCAAATATATTGATTTTAATTTTTCTCTAGGGAAAAAGATACATGTTCGTTTTTTTTCTTCTGTTTTTTGGCTTCAGGCTTAATGTTATGTTCATTGAGTGGTTTACATATTTCGGCATTGAATAACTTGTATTTACTTGTAATTTTCATAATTTGAGTTCAAAACATTATGATAGATTTTTTTTAACTTTTTTAATATGAATTTCTGTTTTTACTATTTGGTCTACGCTATAAGAGCATATTTGATGACATTGCTTTTTGCTAGTGTTAAGTCTTAATGGCCTTTTGCTGGACTTGCATATAATGTCAGAAAAAGGAGTGTTAATGGTATAAATGGGAATTATACATTTTCCTGGCATAAGAAGCTAAACATGATAATCACTCATTATTTTCATCTAATATTCTATTCCAAAATAACTAATGCTTTTTACCTTTTATTTGAATTCATTCTATAAACATATTTATCAATGTATTCAAACACTTGGCTTTTAACATTGTATATGTGAATTGCATGATTTAGCTTCTAGGTTCTGTTTGCAGCTTTACGTAACTTTAAATTTTAGTTTAAGAGTTAGTTCGCACTGCAATTGTGATGGATCTCTACTAACTTAAATGGGGACTTATATTTATAGATGTGCTTTATTTGGTTGCTTCAGTTCAATTCAGTAACAAATAATTTTGCGGAGGAAATTTTATACATTGCTTCTCACAGTTCAACTGAATGCTATAGGGTGTTGCTGGAGTTGCTGTCCAATACTTGGGTTATACTCCTGGGCTTTTTATTGTAGGGCTTTTTGCCATCCTTATTTTGTGGATGTATGCTAACTTCTGGATAACTGGAACATTACTCATAGTTGGAGGTATGATATTCTTTCTTCTTCTCGTTTGGATTTTAAAGAAAGTGAGTCTGGAACAGTAGTAAAGTTGCACCTTTGTGACTGAAAGGTCACGAGTTCGAATCCGAGAAATAGCCTCTTTGCAAATATGCACGGGTAAGGCTGTGTTCAAGGATTGTCCTCACCCCACTCTCGATAGTCGGAGTTTAATGGGGAGTGGTTTATCCTAATGACTAGGATAAAAGAGGAGAGGAGGCGTGCTGCCTATTGTTCTATGCTCTTTAATAATGTATATCGTATTCGTATACACTTTTATTAATCTGTTCATATTGAAGGCAATATTTTTCAATTGTGTTTATGCTTCCACACCATTGGGCCGCTTGTTGACATTTCCTCATTTGACTAGTTTTGCTTGGCTTATATTTATTTGCTGTCTGAATGACTTTGAAATATGTTATTGACTATCATCGGCATGAAACTGACTTGACTTGATGTTATATAAGCACAGCAGTTGACTTTTGTTTTTGTTGGGTTAATTGAGTGTTTTGCCCTTTTCTAATCTGGAAATTTTGTTTGTTAATTATACAAATGCAGGTTATTTATTCTCCCTCTCCCTGAATCATGCACGGTTGGTGGCATTAGTCGGATCTATATATGCTCTATATTGTGTTCAAGTACGAGTGGGATGGCTGGGTGTTTTTCTTGCTATAAACCTTGCATTCCTCTCTAATGACATTTTGAATTTTCTGCTCCAATGGTTTGATAATGTAAGTGAAAGTTCGCATTCTGAAGAGCAGAAGCAATCAGAACCAGTTGTGGAGGATGAGTTCTCTGAAGAGTGTGAATATCCTATCCCTGCTGATGAATCTGAGAATTTGCATTCATGTAAATCATCCAGTAAACCTGCTGTTACCACATCAGTTGTTGATAACAAGAAAGAACTTTCTGTTAACAAAGTTGTTAGAGAGCAAACAAGTTCAATTGATGAAATGAGAAGGATAATGAAAAGTCTGGATCATTATGAAGCCCTTGGATTTACCCGCCACAAGAAGATTGATGCAGCAGTTTTGAAAAAGGAATACAGGAAAAAGGTGTTTGTTTACTTTTTCTTTCTCTATTTTGTTTTGCTTCACTGTTATCAAAATATTTATTTAGGCGGCTGCTATGTGTTTAAGTAGTACCATGTTACAATGTACGTGGTATCACATTTTGACTTATGTTGTGTTTACTAGCCTACTTAGAGGTTGTTTGGTTTGTTTTCTGTTTTCATTTTCATTTGATTTACTAATAATTACAAAATTGCCACCATGTTTCATTTTGTTTCTTGTTTTCAAGATTTTGAGAAGGAAACGGTTAAAACCAGGCAGCAGTTTTTGTAATTATTGGTGAAAGCATGTCAAATTATCAATTAAAAAATGAAAACAGAAAATAAACCAGACTCTTATATGCTGATGCTTTACATTTCAAATTCCCATTTTTTTATTTAATGATGCAGGCTATGCTTGTGCATCCTGATAAAAATATGGGCAGTTCGATGGCAAGTGAGTCGTTTAAGAAGCTACAATGTGCATATGAGGTAATTTCTAAGTATAAGCTGCAGCGACTCTCTTATAATTGATAGATAAACATTTAATGTATATTTGATATATAATTTATAAAACTAATGATTTTTGCCCAATTTGGTTTCTTCCACTCACAAGTTATATGAAACTTCCAGGTTCTTTCTGACTCTGTGAAGAAGCGAGACTATGATGAGCAATTAAGAAAAGAAGAATCCATGGCTAAAAGTGTCTGCCAGAAATCCCATGGTAGTTCACATCAGGTAAATCTGATGATATTTTTGTAAATGACTGACATATACTACTCAATTTTTCTGTATATGGTCCACAAGTCTTATGAGTTGCAGTTTTTATTTTGGAAATCATGAGTGTTTTGGTAGTTTTTTACTCTGTGGACATGGGTTCTAAATGCTGAGAAATTCTCTTCACCCTCTTTTTATACGAAATGATTGTTCCTTAGTATACTGTGTGGTATTTAAGCCATTCTTTTATTTCTTCAGACATAGTATTCTCACATAGACAAGATCCATACATTCTAGTGCAAATTTTTTCCCTTCAGTTACCTAAAGAAAAATTTAAATTTTTTCAAGATTGTTTTTTCATTTATTCCTTTAGATTGTTAATGCCTTCGGATATTAACTAGTCTGGTGGGTTTAAAGAAGTACTATACAGACACTTGAAAAAAAGAGATATGTCCAAGTCAAAACATATTAAATTCTTATTGGATGCTTTGATATTTTCTGTGGTGCTGTGTTGGTCTCCTTTGTCCATGTTTCTTCTATGAATCATTACCTTCAAAATGATACTAACTGAGTTTCCCAAACTCGATGACCATGTGCTTATGACTAGCCAACTAGGGTCCGTCCGTATTTGACGGGAGTTTCCACCCTGTCATACTTACTCTTTTATGGAGCAAAATAAAATTTTTGCACATCTTCTTCACATATAATTCGTATTTTTAACCCAACTGTAAATCATAATGTAATGTGACAGTGGCCTCTGTTAATCTCAATCTTCTGTTTCTAGTTGAAAATTCCAATTTTTTTTCTCTGCTGTCAAGTATAAGAGTTCACATACAAAAGGACCCGTGACTGGTTTAATGATATAAAAGAATAGGAAAGAATAATAAAGAAATAATATGTTTGAATGAAATATGTGCTAATGGGGTGAGAGGATTTGTCTGATTATTAAAATCACCTCTATCTCATGATAACATGATTTCAGCAGTACTAAGGTTGCTGAATTATTTGGCTGACTGATGATCTTTATTAGAAAAATGACGGTACATGTATTCTCCTCAGGATAATCCTGATTATCGTTCTGAAGATTCCAGACGTATACAGTGTACCAAGTGTGGGAATTCACATATTTGGGTATGCACTAACAGGAGTAAGGCCAAAGCAAGATGGTGTCAGGTCTGATTTCTTTCCTTTACATTCTGATTATTAAGTACCTTTCTCTTTCTCTCTATTCCGTGCTCACTTTATCTTAGTTCTGAATTTAATTTTTTCTCTGGAAGCAGGATTGCTGTCAGTTTCATCAAGCCAAGGATGGGGATGGATGGGTCGAATATAAAGGTTCTTTGGTTTTTGACAGGCCTCAAAAGGTAGATTCTTCATAGCAAATAATTTTCCCCACTTCATATTATCTTGTTTGCATTTAGTTTCTGAACTTTGATCTTGTCTTCATAGGTGGAGATTCCGCGTGCTTTTGTTTGTGCAGAGAGCAAAATTTTTGATGTGTCAGAATGGGCTATATGTCAGGTTAGTGTACTCTACACACAGTATTTCTCGGTGTACATACAATGCATCTTTACCTGATTTGGTGCTTAATCTGAAGTTTCAAGAACTGAGAAAGAAATCAAAACTTCATGGCAATAGAAAAGGTGAAGCATGCACATGCAGGATTTACTTGTTAAAAATGATAGCGAGAACTGATTGGAATTGCAGTGATACAGCATTTTGGTTATTGCTGAATGTGGATGTTACAAAATTGCAGAGTTACTAATCCTATGAGGAAGAGTGAAACTTAGGAATTCCTACTTATTTTGACAATAAGGGTTATTTGGTACCTTTGTTTGGGCTCTTATATAAGGCAGTGATTATATCTGTTTGTTCCCTTTGTTGGATTTGAGGTAATATGAGCCTTTTCCATTTAAAAAATGAGGGTTGAAAAGAATCTTGATTGAGGTTTGTTTTTGACTCCACATTAACGCAAATCGGGGAGCCTTGTACATCAAGGTTTGCCTTTTTTTTTTTTTTTTTTTGGTACCTGACAGCTTGCATTATTTCATGCAGGGAATGGCTTGTAGGCCTAACACGCATCGACCGACCTTCCATGTAAACATGGTTGGCTTGGAGAAAAGCCAACGTTGCAATTCAAGTAGATTCCCATGGGATTTGGATGCTGAAATGATGATGGATGAAGATGAAGAGGCATTTGACCTGTGGCTTCAGCAGGCTCTGGCATCTGGTCTCTTTTGTGAGACTTCCAAACGCAGGAAGAGTTGGAGTCCATTCAAATTGCCTCAAAAGAAAGGGAAGAAGCAATGGAGAAGAACATCATGCTGAAGCTGAAGGGAAAAATCCATATTTCATTGCCTATCCCTAAGGGATTGATGGTCTAAACATTTTCTAGAAAAGAAAAGTGATGGTTTTCTGAGATCAAAACAAGGAGGAATGGCTAGCAACACTCAGAACAAGGTGCCTTATCAAAGATAGATGAGAGTTGTGGGTTAAATTATCAGAGCCAGGGTTTACAAGTAGCTTAAACACATTCCATATTCTTAATATACTAAGTGATTAAAAGTGCAAAAACCTTGGTTTCTAGGGGTTGCCCTTATTGCTCATCTGGTATTTCAGGTTTACAGAAACTAGCTTGAACTGGTTGACGTTGATCTATGGCTTAGTGTATTCTTGTTCTTATATTAGGAGGTGGTCAGGGACTACTTTTGGTCCTTTGTACATACATGCTAATAAAAATTTCTCATCTGGTTTTATGACTTGGATTATCATCATTCATCGTAGAGTTATGTTACATCCACAACTTTTTTACTTTTCCTTCATACTCCTTTCTGTATTATTGAATTACAAGTACATCCATGGTGGGTCACATAATAAATACGTCATTTGCTATATGCTAATAAGGTAAATCCTATTCCATAAGGTTCCTCAACTTTGTGAGGGTAGGGATGTGGGTTAATTATACAGTTTTACCATTGTATTTTCGGAAAAAAAATTATTGTTAATAAATGACACTAATTTTTCGATCATAAAAGAATCATTTTTTGCTACTCCGAAGCTCACACTCTCATTTCTATATACTAATGTATTGTCTAAATTTTTAATCCTTCGAACTAATGGAACTAATAGAAGTTAAAAAAGACACAAAGTGCTACCGAATATGATTGGTAAATCTCAACCAAAGTAATGATTGGTTTTTTCATAATAAAATGTTGGGAAAAGTGTTTGTCATTTTGAATGACATAAAGTTATGTCATATTTAGAGAGAGATAGACACAAGAAAATATTTTTTTATTTAAAACTTAAATTAAAAAAAAATCCACCCACTTTCTCTCCCATGATTTCTATTCCTTGTGTCTATCTCTCTCTTAAAATGACATAACTTATGTTATTTAAAATGACAAACACCAAACCCTAAAATGTTTTATTCTTTTTTCCCAGGATATTATCATGTTTTTTGGTGGACACAAATTCATAGAAAATGAAATATAAGATGCTTTGGGTTGGTATTTGAAGAAATATTAGAACAAGAACTTCGAAAAAAGAGAGCAATAGCACACACAAAAGGCTGTATTTTTCATTGAACATATTCAGCTCTACATCAGAATATTCATACAAGATGAGCATTAAATACATTAATAAATAATTTACCAACTAACAACTAACAGAGTTAATGCTACTAACAACTAACATGCCAACTAACACAATAACAAATGTAAAGAACTGACAGCTAGGCTGAACATAGCTTCCTAAAGAAATGCATAAGAAAGTGGCAGACAACTAGATTGATTATGTTGACTTTAATAGAGCTCAATATCAACACTCCCCCTCAATCTGAGCTGTATATGTTATTCATGCCCAGCTTGCTACTTAGCTCCTCAAACTTGACTCTTGGTAGTGCTTTGGTTAGGACATCAACCACTTGAGAATTGGAGGACAAATGATCTAAGGCAATGAATTCTGCTTATATTTTTTCCTTGATAAAATCTCTATCAATCTCGACATGCTTAGTCCTATCAGGATGAATTGGATTTTTTACTATACCAATAGTTGCCATGTTGTCACAAAAATTTGCATAGGTGAGTTGTGATAGAGTTTTAATTCCTTCAGTAATCTTAGTATCCACATTCCTTCACAAATTCCAAGTGCAAGAGCTCTAAATTCAGCTTCGGCACTGCTCCTTACAACAACAGGTTGCTTCTTGCTCCTCCATGTTACTAAGTTTCCCCAGACAAAGGTGCAATAGCCAGTGGTGGATCTTCTATCAATCACTAATCCAGCCCAATCTGCATCGGAATAAACCTCAATATCCCTATTGCAATTTTTGGAGAAGTATAGACCTTTTCCTGGTATTTTTTTAAGTACCTCAGAATTTTGTACATAGCTTCCAAGTGCTCTTTTGTTGGTTTGTTCATGAACTGACTAACCACACTAACAAGGAAGAAAATGTCAGGCCGAGTATGGGTTAGATAGATGAGTTTTTTTTACCACTCTTTGGTACATACTGATATCTACTGGAGGATTTTCCTGAGTCAAGCCCATCTTGTAATTGGCTTCCATAGGTGTTTCAGTAGGCTTACATCCATCATACATGTCTCTTCTAGAAGGTCAAGAGTATACTTTCTTTGAGTTACCGAGATGTCATCTTGCCTTCTTGCAACTTCCATACCTAAGAAATACCTGAGTTGACCGAGATCTTTAACCTCAAATTCCTTTGCAAGGGATAACTTAAGCCTTTCTATTTCCTCATAATGATTACCTATGATAACTATATCATCAACATACACAATCAAGATGGTTACCAAGTCATTTGGGCCAAACTTAATGAAGAGAGTGTGATTAGTTTGGCATTAATACCCTTGGCCCTTTACAACTGTGGTAAACTTTTCAAAGCATGCCATTATAATGACTTGCGGAGTTTACACTTTGTTCAGATTTCGTTTTGTATCAACTCCTTGAGGAACTTCCAGGTAAAGCTCCTCCTCTAGATCTCCATTTAAAAAAGTATTTTTTACATCCATCTGGTATAGAGGCCAATTTGAATTTATCGCAATTGACAGGAGAACTTTAATGGTGTTGAATTTTGCTACAGGAGCAAAGATTTCTTGATAGTCAATGCCATAAGTTTGTGTGAAGCCTTAATGGGATGTCTAGTGCAAGTTCTTACCCTTTTTGGGAGAGCAATAGGCCAGTGCTAGTCATCTTCAAGATTTGGTGTAGGAGACTCACATTGGCTTTGTCTAGGAAGAGGGTTTTTGGTTGACTGATTGCTTTCTCTTCATAGGATTCTTCTCTGGTTGTATCAATGGTTCTTTGTTCTTGGTCATGAGTGATAAGAATGCCAGTTTCGGGTGGCGTAATGGGGTTGGCTTCAGGTAGAGTAGCTGGGAAGATTGGCTCAGGTATGAAGGAGTTCAGGGTGCCTTGGTCTTTTGTGGGAGAAATAATAGAATTGGTCTTCAAGAAACGTAACATGCATGCTGACATAGGTTTTCTTAGTAAGAGGGGCATGCCACTTGTATCCCTTTTGTGTAGGGGAATAGCCTATGAAAATGCACTCAATGGCCCGAGGTTCAAGTTTCCCACTATGAGTATTATGGACAAAGACAGTGAAACCAACGACCTTAGGAGGAAGAGAATTTATTGGAAAATGAGGGTAAATGAGAATGATTTGTTGGATTGAAGACTTGAAATTTAATATCCGAGAAGGCATGCAGTTAATGAGGTAAGCAGCGGTAAGAATGGTTTCACCCAAAAAATGTTTGGGAGTATTGGAGGTGAAGAGAAGAGTATGCCCAACTTCTAAAAGGTGACGATTTTTCTTTCGGCAATACCATTTTGTTGAGGAGTATAGACACAGGAGCTTTGATGAATTATGCCATATTTGGTAAGGTAGGATGAGAGGTTGGAATTAAAATAATCCTTTGCATTATCTGACCGAAGAACTTTAATTTGAGCCTGGAGTTGAGTTTGAACTATGGAGTGAAAGGCTTGGAAGGATTCAGATACTTCTGATTTAGAGTGCAGCAGGTAAATCCATGTAAGGCGAGTCTCGTCATTAATAAAGGTTACAAACCAAAGAGGCCCATTGACATTTTTCACATTGGCAGGTTCCCATACATCACTATGGATTAAAGACAATGATTAAGAAGGTTGATAGGCCTTTGGAGGATAAGTGGATTTAACATTTTTAGATATTTGACACCACTTACAGGTAGAAAAAGTCAATCTTTTATTGAATAAGTTGGTCTACATTTTTTTTCATGTAATCAAAATTTGGATGACCTAATCGATAATGCCATAACATCATATCCTTGTCATTTCCAATAAAAGTTATGAGAACTTGAGGCGTCCAATTTTTTTGCAATGATTTGGTAAAGGCCACCCATCCTCCTAGCATTTTTAATCTTCCGCTCTGAATCCAAATCCTAAAAAGAGAAATCGTTTAAGTTAAAGATGGCAACACATTGCGAGTCTCTTGTTAGTTGACTAACATAAATCAAATTACAAGATAACTTTAGAATAAACAGAACATCTTGTAATGTAAATCTCGTAGAAATCATTGCCATCCTAATTCCTTTAACTTCTATTGAGTTACCATTAGCCAAAGTGATTGTTTTCTTCTCAAAATTCTTATAAAGATGTGATAGGAGAGAGATATTACCAATCATATGGTGAGAAGCACCAGAATCCACTATCCGAGTATCTTCTTTGTCAGAAAAAGTATGGAGAGCAGTGAATTTACCTGCTTGTGCAATAACACTAGTGCTTGGAGTTTTTCTCAACATCACTAGAGGCAAACAACTTCTTAATGAACTCAATTTGTTCCTTCCTTAACATATTATAAGTTTTGGAAGATGACATGGTGTCATTGGATGTTGGTGTTGTGGATGAATCCTCTATAGAGATTGAATATCCTCTACCTTCCCTTGAGTACTTTGAATTCCAATTGGTGGGTTTCCCATGCAACTTCCAACATACTTCTTGGTGTGACTAGGTCTGTTACAATTATCACACCACGGTCTCTCGTCGTTCCTAGGTTTGCCATTAGTGAAGAACATTTTTCCTTCCATAAGAGCATTAGCTTCCATACCAGAATTATTATGTTGATGGGGCTGAACCAGTTGTTGACGGCTTTCTTCCCACATAATTTCAGAGAACACCTCTGTTAATGAGGGTAAGGGGCAAGTTGCGAGCACCATCAAACGAAGGGTTGAGACCAAGAAGAAAATGGTAGATATGCTTCCTCTCCACATGCTTGCAGAACGTTTCTGAACAGCCAATGCACCCCCATTCCAAGGTCTCATAAGTGTCCACTTGCTGCGAATTACGCATTAGAGTATTATAATATTGGGTAACATTTTACTCATCTTGTTTCAAGTCTATTGGAACCCCTTTAACTTGAAATAGAGTTGTTGTGTTATCCTTCTTGGAGTAACCATCCTTGACTCCATCCTAAATTTGTTTGGCAAACTTGCACATAATGTAGTTTTCTCCCATTTCAACAGTCATGGAATTAATGAGCCATGATATAATGAGGTTGTTTTCTAAGTCCCATTGCTCATGTTTTGGATCGTCATCATTGGGTTCTTTTATGACATCGATGAGATACCCAACCTTTCCTCTTCCTTTGAGGTGCATGAGAACACTTTGAGACCACAACAAGTAGTTTTCTCCATTGAATCGATGACAGTGGTGATAAGAGATGAACTTTCATTTGAGATAGGAGATGGCGCTGTTGGGTTTAGTGTTTCATTGTTCGGGTTTAAAGTTTCACCATCAACATTGGTTTGAAGGGTTCTCATGGAGCCAAAATATAGTGTGGACATGGGATATGGATGGTGATTAGGCCCTTAAGAGGAGAGCTCTGATACCATGAAGAAATATTATAACAAGAACTTAGGAAAAAGAGAGAGATATCACACACAAAAGGTTGTATTCTTCATTGAACATTTTCAGCTCTACACCAAAATATTTATACAAGATGAGCGTTAAATACAATAACAACTAACAACTAACAGAGTTAATGCTACTAACAATTGACCTGCCAACTAACAACTAACACAATAATACCAACAATGGAAGTAAATATTCATTTGGATAAGTGCTCTTTAAAAGAGAGAGAGAGAAACCCGATCATTCGTTAATTTTATTTTGGAAAATTTTTATTTTCACATGTGGTATTAATGTGTATCACTTATTTTTTTGTAGTTTCAAACTTATTATTCATACCCACTGTGGTTAAATAAGTTAATTATTTAATTATTTATGGTTTTAAACTTTCACTTATACCTATGGTGATTATAAAATTCTATCACTTAGACCCTATGGTCTTATTAATATAAAATTCTTTATTTTTTCTAACTTTTATTGTATATAATTATGATATTATCAAATAATCTTTTAATAAAATTAATTATTAAAGATTAAATTAAAAAACACTTAAAGTTTCTTATTTTGAAATTATTTTAAAAAATCATCTTAAATTTAATTAATTAATTTAAAAAATATATTTAAATTAAAAATATTATTTAAGATAAATTACAGGTGTATTAGATAAACAGATGTATTAGATAGATAAAGTATCATTTTAAATTAATTTTTTTAAATAAAATATTAATTATATATTTTTAAAAATAAAAAATAAAAAATATCATATAAAAAATATTAAAAAATATATTATATTTTTAACGATATATTGTAAAAATAAATAAAATAAAATAATATTTGAGTTAAATTTATTTTCACGATAAAAATATAAGACCAAAAGATTCAAACGCCTATCATCTAATAAATTTAATCGAAATAAATTTTAAAAAAAATATTTATTTCTATCATGAATCAAACACCTAAGTGATACATTTAAATAAAAAAAATGAATTTCTTGTGTGTATATATATGACCAAATTGTCTGAGTAATATATTTTTATAACATGATACTTTGAAATTACAGGAGATTAAATAATAGATTTGTTATCACAATGAATCCAAATGATAAGTTTAAAACTACAAGAAATTAAATAATAGATCATATAATCACAAGAGGTGAAAATGAAATTATTCCTATTTTTTAAGTGTATGTTAGCAAGAGAATTGGGTTTTTATGTAATATACAATTAGACCATAGTTTCTTATTGAATTTATATTTTTAATTTATATATTGTTATAATTTTTAACCATGACATTATTAATTTATTTTCTTTATCTGACTATTTCAATCTCGATCTGTAATCAGAGTGATAATTCAGTAATCCGTTTTTTCATTATATTTTATTTATTTATTTATTTAATGAATCAAGATGTAGTGCACGTTTTGTTTGTTCTACATCTGCTCGAGTGCCAGCTATGACTTGTAATTCATTGGACTTGTTGTCGGTAGAAATATTTTTTTTAGTTTACTCAAGGTATAATCTAATAGATAGGCGAAAGAATAATTCTTAGTAGAAATTATCGAAATGAGTTTTATCATTATTAACAAAATACACGCAGCTAGGAATCAAACTCCTGTAAACATGCTTAAGGGATCTAGCTATCTATCAACTGTGCCAAACTTTGTTAGTTGTTGTCGGTAGAAATACTTTAATATTTGTATTCATCTGTTTTACAGTAATAGTTATTTTAGGAAAGTGGATTCTCTCGTATGTTAATTAACATGATCATGTTATGTTAAAAAATCATAATCATATAAAAATAAATTAATAATGATAAAAGAAGAAAGAGAAAAAAATAGGAATAGGTAATTATAAAATCATCACTATTGATTCTTTTTTATATAATTAGGATTCATCCACCATCTGACATGATCATATTAATTAAAATATAAGAGAATCTGTTATAAAAAAAAATAAAAATAAAAATAAAAGAGAATCAATTTCTTTATTACTTATTTAAATTATTTATTATTTTAAAAAGTTAAGAAGTTATTAATTATTTTTTGGTTTTACTCATTTGCCAGCTATATTCAATATTGTTTTATATTTTTAGTTTTGAAATGGGAAGATTGAGTTTGTTTCTCTTGAAGGGTAAAATATCTCAATATAATAATGATATGAGGAGCAATGACATAGATCAAGGGCAAGCTAAATGGAGAGTCACCGTGAGTGGTCTTAGACGAAGGTTGAGAGAAAGGGGATGATGTCCAAAGACACGATCGCTCTAGAATAATTTATGTAGAGTAACAACTAACAACTTTGTTCATAATGTGAAGATGATGATGTCTCTTTAATGACTGAAGATAAGTATTTATAAATGGAGAAAGATTCAATGAGAGAATAAGATATAAGCATTTTTATCTTGGGAAACCCTATAGTGTGAGGCAAACACATTCATCTAATTTATCATTATTTTTAGAAGAGCTAATTTTTTTTGGAAAAAGTACATAAGATTAATTATTAATCTTTAATTATTGCTACATGAAGTTTTAAAGATAACTTAGACTTAACTTGTCAATAGTCCACAAATCTTAGATGTTCATATTTATTAAATCAAAACCGATTATTTATATATATTTTTATTAAAAATCATATTATATTATTTTTTAAAATTCTTAAATTAAAGACATACTTGTTTGAATTCAATTTTAGAAAAAGTTATCTAAGAACTAAAACACAAAATAAAACTAATTTTGATACATGTTTTCATCTAATTGTTTTTAGAACAGAAAATTAAGAGCACATTCTAATTGTTATTGTATTCTCTGCTCCTTATACAAATCACCGCTATTGTCAGAGCTATTGGCGCTGTCGCTGAAGCCACCACCACTATTCCTTAGAGCTTTCAAAAAAAATTACAATAAAATTCATTAAATATATTCTTTTGGTATTTTAATCTATAAAACAAGGGTTTGATGTTTGTCATCTTAAATGACATAAATTATGTCATTTTAAGAGAGAGATAAACACAAGAAATGAAAATTATGGGAGAGAAAGTGGATGGTTTTTTTTAATTTAAATTTTAAATAAAAAAAGAATTTTTTTATGTCTATCTCTCTCCTAAAATGACAAATATTTTTCCCATTAAAATAATTGTAAGAAACAATAATATGAAGGGAGGTTATAGTTACTACCTTTTTTTCTTACTATCTCTTACTACTAAATCTTAACTGTTAATTTCTGTCAATCTAACTGTTGTAATATATTAGGTCATACTTATTAATTAATTATTAATTTCTAATAAATTATGACCGTTAAATTGACGAAAATCAACGGTTAAGATTTAATAGTAAGAGATAGTAAGAAAAAGAGGTAATAAGTATAAGTGTATAACCTCTTTCTATTATGAAATAATATTTTAAAACAAAAGTAAAACCAAACACGTAATTTCTTCTTTATTATCTCCTAAATAAGAAATGTGTCTTAAGTTTTGTGTTCTTTTATCCAATCTTATAAAAATCGGACCGACTCGGTTGGGTTGACCCAGAAGTTGGTGAACTGGTCATGTAACTGATCTGATTTTTATATTTGATCGGCCATATTACAGAACTGGTGTGATTCGGTGTGACCCGACCAATTTTCGTAAGAATCGGTGATACGATCGATTCAACAGGTGACCAGGCCCGGTTTGTAAAAAAAAAATATTTATTCTCATTAATTGTTGTCTTCCTTTTTTTTCACTCTCACACACTAATGATTTGTTTTCTTTTAAAATATTTGAGTGATTTGTAGCTTATTAACTTACATAAATTATGTATCTACAATATTAATATTATCTTGGTTATGCAATATGCCAGAAAATTTTGATTTGATTTATAATAAGAGATATCATTTACTAAACTTGAAATACCAATATCACATATTATATGTTTGATTGATCTTTTGTTAAATAATGACATGTAAGTTATTATTTTTCATATTAAAATATTTGAATTTGGTATTATTCTCTTGCAGGTATTTAAGTATGTTTATATTTTTTAATATAAATTATAAATTTATATATACATATTAGGTCGTATTTCAACCAGATTAATAACTGAGTCGGATTTAATACGATTGCTTTTATAACAGTCCATAAGAAGAAGAAGTCATCTCAAGTTTTATGATTATTTTTTGGGCTTTCGTTCCGTCATTTAACAGGTTCAAATGTTTTTTTCTTACAAAAGTAACGACAAAATAAATAGTAATAAAAAATTGAAAAAGCACTGTATTCAATGACTTTATTTTGTCTATAGTGATTGCATGGCACTAATTTTTTACCTACAACATTATTCTTATTTATCCGAAATCAATAGTTAGGTTTAATAAGAATAAACAACTTCATTTATTTAACGTTTGTAAGTTAACTCTAAGTCATAAAGGAACCTGTTATAACAGTAAGAAAAATTTAAGAATTAATTGTACCCAAAAAAAAATTAAGAATTAATTGGGACGAAATTAAAGTCGAAAATATTTATTTATGAAAAATATAATGTTTAGGATTGACTGCATGCAGTTTTTTTTTTCATTATTCTTTAACTCAATGAGTCAATATACCATTCTATGTGATGAAATTGCTTGCGTGAGTCAATAATAATAATAATAAATAAATAAATAACAAAATCCTGTTACCAAAAAAAAAAATTCTTAAATCCAAAAGAAACAAACAAAAAAGACAAAAAAAAAAAAAAAATTCAATGTAAGAAACCATGTGATGATCTAAGACTGAGACAACAAACACTGAGGGGAGAGAGAGAGAGAGAGGCGAACACCGACCGGAAGTTCGGCGCTCCGCTGATTACGGTTGTGGCCCCCACCGTTCCGGCGAGTGAGTACTTCGATCTTTCTTTACTCCATCGTTGTTCTTCTATCTTTTTCCTTGAACTTGATCTTCATATTCTGCCATTTTGAGCTTATAAGGTCCATTTGTTCCACCCCATTATCAAGTTTTATTTGTTTATTTATTTATTTATTTAAATTTGTAATTTTTTAGATTTTGATGAATACCCATTTCAATTTGATGATTTAGCTGTATCGATTTCGACCCCTGATACTTCATGGGGAATGGATGCTTCAGAATTTTTGTTAGTTTGAGGAGTTATAGAGCTTCAAAAACCTTTTTTTTTTTTTATGCTGAAATGTGTGTTTTTTTGCTCAAAAAGCTTGATTTGATGGCTGGGGTGGTGCGTGCTTGCGAGCTAACACATGGGTTTTGCAACTTTGTTGTAATGATGTAATGATTCTGCTATTTTTATTTTTTTGTTCTTGTGCCCAATTAGTTTTGAAACACGACACCTTCTTGATGTGCTATTTGAGCCTTGCTTAATTGCAAATTTGCAGTTGTAGTTGATCACTTGTAAGCTAGACAGCATTTCTTTGAGGAAGCACTGTTCATGGGAAAGTCCTTTACTTTTGATTAGGATAGGTGTATCTGCATTTTTTCACCCCTGCAGTGTGGATACCGTCATGGCGAAGCTACATTTAGTGAAATAAAATGATAAGAAGCTTATGTAATGTCGTTAGAGTCTCACTTGCTAAGAATTGACTTGCAGTTTCCCCGTAAACTTTAATTGCTTTCTCTTTTTTTTCCCTTTATTTTTTTGTTTTATCTTTAAATCCCATGGTTACACTTTCACACTTAAATGAAAGTGTGTTGTGATTTTCTAAAGCATTTATATCCATTTTCTCTTAGTGTTAGCAGCACAGCAATTTTTTGTTGACAGGATAGGTTTTATAAAGTATTTTCCAATGTTTCCCTTGATCCACTCCTGCTATGCAAACCAAATGTTATGATTAGACGTTTAAGGGTCTGAACTTATTTACAGAATCTATGTATTATAACTGATCTTAGTTGTAGGGTATTTAGGGTTTGAGCAGATATTTGTTTGCTGTACTGTCCATACACGTCTTTCATTTTGTTGAGATGTGTGATTTGTTCATTTTATATATTTGAAGATAATCTATGCCTCTTGTGATGGATGTAATGAAGTAAGTTTGGTAACGATGCTTTGCATATATGAATATTGGTTTGAATTCCTATTCTCAATGAAAATTGTTTTCATTGCCAGAATCCAATGTTTTCTTCACTCGGAAGAGCTTATTAAATTCTAATCATTGCTGGAATCTTGAACTTATTCACCATTGTGGTATTTTGTGCACTTGAGAATTAACAGATAAGAATGTGAAAAGGAGAGAGAGAGAATTCATTGAAGTGTTTATGAGATCTATCTGATATTATTAGAATGATCCAGATACAAAGAGAGAGCTCTATATATAGAGCTAGAGGCTGACTCAGCAATGAGTCAGGCAGTGAATAACAACATAACAAACTCTTAACAGACTAGTTACAAGAAATATAATCAGGTGTGTCACACACCTAAACTAGGTGCACTAATACAGGTGCAGACAACAAATGAAGCATTTATATGCCAATAAGAATTTTCTACTAACATGGTGTATTGTTGCAGCTGCAGTTTTACACACAAAAGGACCTCATGTCTAACATAGAGGATAACAAAGAACTAGGACAGATGGATGTGGATGCATCTGACGAGTCAGTCAACATGCCATCATCCCAGAAGCAGGTTGTATTCAGATCTTGCCTTCTTGCATGCTTACATTAAAAGTTAAATCTGAGTTGCGATGAGATAATCTCTTTATAACGAGGTTGTTTTTCTGCCAAAAGGGTTTCTTATTTTGTAACTTATGAGTTCATAAACCTTCTAGGAGGAAGCTATAAAGAAAAAATATGGAGGAATTATTCCCAAAAAGCCACCACTCATATCTAAGGTACCTGCTTGGGGGTTTCTGTGGGTACATCTGCTTGCAACATAAGCTTATACACTCAAGATGGTCAATGCCCATGAATATTTGATAATAAGTGCTCATCTAATTTTTCATTCAAAACTTAAATTTTATGCCAGGACCATGAGCGCGCTTACTTTGATTCTGCTGATTGGGCACTTGGAAAGGTACTTCTGGAAAACATACCTCTGTAATAGTTGCATAAACTGAATTTTCTGACTCTCCTCTTTGCGCTCACATGAAACAGCAAGGCGGTGAGAAGCCTAAGGGACCACTTGAGGCTCTTCGGCCTAAATTACAGGTATTTAACCAATATTCTCAGACCTGATTTAGAGAAAGTAACGTTGCTGTCTAAGGCTTAATAATAATTGTTCTTCTGTTGTATGAATAGCTTGCTGCATGATGGTCTTGAACTGTTTCTTGAAATAGTATCCCATTTAAATGTCATTTGCAGTTGTAATAGAGAAGTGTTGTTTCTATATGGCTAACCACTCCAAACCAATTTAAAGAGAGAGAAAGCAATTATTTGTGTTTCAAAGAAATTAAATTCACATCTAGTGTTAGATTAGCTATTGGAACAAGCTTATATATAACTCTTGTAATTCGTAGTTTTATGTGTGTGTTGTGCAAGATTTTTTGCATGCCCGTTTGACAAATTGGTTTGTGAAGCTTCCAAATGATCTAAGATTTAGTATAAATTTAAGCAGAATAATAACTATGCACATTTGAGGATTAAATAGTTGAACAAAATAAGGGCCCCTTCTGTTTAAGTTTCTTTTTCTTTAAAAAAAGTACTTTTTAATTACAAAAAATGTCTAAAAAAGTTTATGATAATTGGATGTTTTGTGAACACCCCCACCCTCCCCAAAATAAATAAATAAATAATCAGTTTTAGTCCATTTCTTAGTGGCTAGAAAGAGTATCTTCTAAAAAAAGCTACATCATAGTTTATTTTTTTTCAAATCTAATCCAAAGGCACCTTAATAGTAATTATACCAGCCATTTTCATGTAATGTGCATAACAAATTTCTGCTTGGCACTTGTGCTTTTCAGCCAACACAGCAGCAAACGCGTTACCGGAAATCTCCTTATGCTCCTGCCGGAGGAGGTATGTTTTATTTTGATGGCTAGCTTTGTTCAGTGAATATGGTTAATTCAGATTTCCTTCTCCCTTAACCTTTCTCTAATCATTTTCAAAATGAACTAACTAACTAAATTCCTATGTGTTGTCCCTTTTATAGAAGGGGGAAGTGTTCCATCGGAGGATGCACCTTCCAATGAGTAAGCAGCAATCAGTCTTTTGATGATGTGCTGACTATTATTCTGATACCTGAGTAGGTATGACTTTTTGTTGTTTTCAACAATAAAAGAAGTTTATTGTGTATTCATATTAGCAGAAGACAAATGATTTGACATGCAGCTATGCTGTAGACACTTACTGTGATTATGGTTTTTGTGTTTTACTCTTCTTCCCCTCCCCCTCACTCCCCAATCTCTCTTTAATTGATAGTTGTGAAAAAAATAAAATAAGAAATTAAGAGTGAAAAGTGAACAAATTTGTCTCTCAAAGGGCCTAAATTTGCAATGAATTTAGTCCTCTTCATGGCTTGATGTTAAAATAGAGTTGCAGGGTAGAAATTGAGGATAAGCCTTTCTTTTGGTTCCTAATTGTTGTGATTCAAAATTTTATTCAATAAGAGCTGAGTGGGTTGGGAAGGACCTCGATTCAATCCCTATTAATGTCATCTTGGGGAGTGGCATAAAACCTTAATCCTTGACCCGCCAGCACTCAAAATTAGTCCCCCAACTCAAAGAGTCAAAATTTGTAGGATACTTGGGGGAGCATACTCACCTCAAAAAAATAATTAGGGTTGGTATCTAAAAAAAAATAAAAATTGTTCAACAGGGTCAACTTAAAAGGTTTTGGGATCAATTCAAACTATTGGTCTTTTATTAGTGGATCATTTGTAAGTAGGTCATTTTATTTTATTTCACATACTAATCTTTTTCAAATCATTTCTTATAATATTATCACTTCAACTATTTACATAACTTTTTTTTTTAATCTTTTAAACAATACAATTCACTTATCTCATTTGGAAATTTAAAACTTTGACCGAGATAGTTAAACATCCAAACAAGAAGGGAATTTGCACTTATATATGAAATTAAACTTTATTATATATATATATATATATATATATAAAATCTCTTAATCTATTCTATCTTAGATAATGATATTTCTCATTTTTAAGTTTTCTTCTTTTTGATTTTAAATTAATTTATATAATTTTAAATATTTTTTATTTAATTTATATATTTTAAATTTTATCAAAAGTAATTATGTATACTTTATTTATAATTTTAATTTTTATCTTTTAAATATTTGTTTAATTTATATTTTTTATCTAAATTTTAAAAATACTTGTATTATGCACGGAATACTTGAGCAACTAAGGGGTGTTTTGAAGAGTATTTGACAGTTGCAATGTAACCATTTTAAAGTGAAAGTGCCTTTTTGATGGCATGAATAAATTATTTTTGTCAATAAAAGGACAAATCACATTACACATTTATCAAATTATCATGAACAGTGACCAAAATGTCACTCTTCACCAATTTTTTTACCTAAATGCCACGCGAACAGTGTTATTTTTCAATCTGTTTCGGGAGCAAGTTCGCTACCCGGTGTAGCGAACTTGGTTTGCTGACGTGTCACACTTTTAGTGGATAACAACTACCAAGTTAAAAAAAAAAAAAAGGTTTGAAGTTCGCTACCTGCCTGTTTGGATCCTCTCTTTTTTAAGCTAGAAGCTCCTTATAAGCATAAGCTAAGCCAAATAGGTTTTGGGAAAAAACTCTTATAATGAAAAGCTCTCTTTTTTTATAATGAAGAAAAAAGCTAAAAACTAAAAGCTCCTAGGAGGAGCTTTTTTTAAGCTCTTATCTGTTTTTCTTGAATTGTGTGGGTTTTTTTTAAATGAAGAGTGATAAAGATAGAGAGAGATATAATTTTCTTGAAATATATGCATTTAAGTCATTTTTAAGCTAAAACTTTTATGTAATTTCCAAACAGCTTCTAGCTTCTTTTTTTAAGCTCTTTTTTTTAGCTTTAGCTTATAAGTAGCTTCTAGCTTAAAAATAAGAGGATCCAAACAGGCTCTACATTGGGTAGCGAACTTGGTATCCACTAGAAACGTGACACATCAGCAAACCGAGTTCGCTACACCGGGTAGCGAACTTGTCCTCGTAGCAGATTGGGAAATAACATTGTTCGCGTGACATTTAGGTAAAAAAGTTGGTGAATAGTGACATTTTGGTTACTGTCCCAAATTATCATTTGTAAGAAATTCGAAATTCAACATAGCAAGCCTTAATATGTTTTGAAATTTTAGTTATTGAGACTCTTATTTTAAAGACGGAAGAGTACCTCTTTTTTTTTTGGAAATACAATGAAAACTAAAGCAACACCAAAAAAAGCCCTATACTGGGCACAATCTTGGGAGACTAACTCCCCTCAAGTCATTACGAAGCAATTCCAAACAAGCTGTTGGAGGGACATCCAGCACAATCAGCTGTCCATCCTGATGAGGTGCATGAGTAGCAAGCCAATCAGCAACAAAATTGCCTTCTCTATAAGTATGACTAAGCTGAATAATTCAGTCTCTTTGAAGCATGCTACGAGCTCGGATGATTAAAGCAGAAAGAGGATGACTTACGTCACACCCTTTTTTTATAAATTCCAAAGCCACCTTGGAGTCACCCTCCACAAAGACTCTCCTAAATCCCTTATGCCAAGCCAGCTCCATACCTGTCAATAACCCCCAAATTTCCGCTGAAGTAGAAGTACCACTCCCAAGGAATTTTGTAAAACCAGTTCCCAGCAGCATCCCTTATGACTCCACCACATGCAGTCCTTTGCCCACTGTCTATGCTGGAACCATTCACATTAAGTTTAACATAACCCTCAGAGGGAAAATTCCAGTGAATAAGACGTTCCTCTCTTCTAAGCTCCTGATGACCAATCTTAATAAGGGTTTCATTAGCCAATTGAATATTACCACAAGTATAGGTAATGCGCCTAATGAGACCATACTTCGAGGTGCTAGTTTGATCAAAGATCGCCTTATTTCTTTCCCCCCACAAACACCAAGCTATCACCCCAAAATACAAAGGCCAAGTTCGATCAGTTTGAAACGGACCTTTTAATCCTAGATTTGTCTGAATCCATAGGTGAAGATCCATGGAGAAAAAGTCACTACGGTTATCAGAAGGAACCCAATGCTCCCATAATTCCCTGGCACCAGGACAATCTCTAATGGCATGTAAACTATCCTCAAGATTATAATGACATCTCAGACACCCTGCATCTGTAGCCATGTGACGATGCACTCTACGAACATTAGTTAAAAGAGAACCTCTGTAAAGAAGCCATAAGAATTGTCTAATACGTTCAGGACCAGGCCAAGCCCAAATTACTTTCCAAATCCTATCCTGATGATAATGCGAGGTACCCATGAGATAGTTATAAGCTGATTTCACTGAAAAAACCCCATCTTGGCTACCTGCCCAAATAACACGGTCCGGAGAAGGATCCACTGTAAGAGGGAGCACACTACGAATCATGTCTAATACTGAAGTAGGAAGAAGGTGCTGAAATAAAGGCCAGTCCCAATTACCATAACAAGTTACAAATTGAGACGTAGACCAATGAGTCATAATAGGAGGAATAGGTTGAACGGCCAGAGAAACAAGTTGAAGACATCCTGGCATCCACGAATCCATCCAAAAAGACGTATGAACCCCATCCCCTAAAATGATACGAGAATTCTCTAGAGTTTGAGGCCAATACTTAACAATAGCCTTCCATAAACCAGAATCATTTGCGGAAGCCGAGATACTTGGAATGAGCCTTTCCTCCACCTTATACTTGCTACGAAGGACCCGAACCCATAACGAATTACGATCAGTCATGATTCGGTGACCTAGCTTCATGATAAAAGCCATATTATTCTCTTTAATTTTATGAAAACCAAGCCCCCCCACATTCTTCGGCAAACAGACCGTCTCCCAAGAAACCAAGTGAGTTTTCCTTCGTTCAGAAGTTGATCCCCAAATGAAATTCCTAGTTACACTCTCAATACGATCACACGTACCACTAGGAATAATACAAGTTTGCATAGGATATTGAGGAATTGCAGTAAGAACTGACCTAGCCAAAGTTGATCTTCCTGCCAACGAAAGAGTACGTTGATTCCAGGCATTTAAACTTGCATCCGATTTAAGATATAGCCAAACGTACTCTTTGTAACACGGCTATGACGAAGAGGAATACCCAAGTATTTACCCAAGTCATTTGTAGGAGAGTAGCCCATCAACTGGCTTAGATTCTGCACTCGAGTATGATTAACGTTTCTGGAGAAGAAGACTTTTGTTTTTTCCTTGCTAACCTTCTCACCAGAGCACCTGCAAAAACAATCAAGAATCTTATTAATAATAACAGCTTGCCCTTATGTGGCTTCTGTAAAGAGCAGAAGATCATCTGCAAAAAATAGATGGGAAAGCAGTGGTCCCCTTCTATTCAATCTGATAGGCTTCCAAACGTCCTCTTGAACTGCTACATTAATCAAATGAGCAAGTCTTTCCATGCAAAGGATGAAAAGATAAGGAGACAAAGGATCTCCCTGACGAAGACCTTGATTAGGAGAAAATTCTGTCGTAGTTGATCCATTCCATAACAAATTCATTGTACATGACGAGACACAACACATGATCAGAGAAATGATATTCTCAGGCAAATCAACATCCACAAGCGTGTCTTTCAGAAACTCCCAAAAAATCTTGTCATAAGCCTTTTCTAAATCAACTTTGACAGTCATCCAACCCTTACCTCCTCTCTTTTTATTCATGGAATGGATGATTTCCTGAGCCACAATGATATTATCCGCTCCTTGTCTACCCTTAGTAAAACCACATTGATTAGGCATAACCAAATGAGCCATATGAAATTTCAGCCTATTAGCCACAATCTTAGTTACAGTCTTGTAAATAACATTACAAAGGCTAATAGGTCTGAAATCTTTAAGTAATTCAGGCACATCAATCTTAGGAATCAGACAAATCAAAGTTTGGTTAACCTCTTTGATATTATCCGGATGAAGGAACACACCTTTCACAAAAGAGATAACTGACTCACCCACCTTATCCCACTGAGATTGAAAGAAAAGAGCACTAAGCCCATCCTTCCCAGGCGACTTGTATGGACCAAAAGAGAAGACTACATCTCTGATCTCCTTACTGTTTGGCATAATACTCATCGTGTCTAAAGCATGCGCTTTAATAACTGGAAAAAAGCCACGAACTGGTAAAGCCGGTTTAGGTAATGGTCACCAATCCAAACTCCCTCAGTTTTTCAACGTATCTATGTGATTCCTCCTACGTCTGGCAACCGTCACAGAATGAAAGAAACGCGAGTTCCTATCTCCAAGAGCAAACCAATTCAATTTCGATCTTTGAAACCAAGTAATTTCCTCTTGAAG